CATAGAATTTACATTCTAGTAGGAGAGAAAAAAATAATAACAAGTAAGATAATAACAGTAAGTCAGTTGTGCACAAGTTTCATGAGGAAAAATTACAGAAGAGGGAGACAGGAAGTACTGAGATGAAGGTTGTAATTTTTAAAAGAATGCCCAGAGGAGAGCAAAAAAGATGACATTTAAGCCAAAATCTGAAAGAGATGATGAAGTAAGCCTTCTGGCTATGCAGGAGAAGACTGACCAAGGCACTGAGATAGAAGTGTTCCTGGCAGGTGTGAGGACCAATAAGGAATCAAATGTGACTGCAACAGTGAGGGAAGTGGATGGGCGCAAATCCTCCTTAAAGACTTTGGCTCTCTTTGGACAGCAGATGGCGTAGTGGTTTCATCACTAGACTCTCATGGAGTCAACCAGGGTTCACGTCCCAGACCCCAAACCCAGTAGCTTAAAACTCACACCAGGTGCATATGTGTGCATGCCCAAAACCCTGAGAGAAGAATGGAGGAGAAGGGATGGCATGACCATCCCCCCAGGGATGTGATTTCTCGCTTTCTGTCTCTCTGGCAAACACATGTGTCCTATAGCAAAAATCTCTCTTAAATGGGACCAGCAGGTGGCATGGTGGTTAAGGCCCTGGACATTCTCACATGGCCGACCATGATTCAAATCCTGGACCTGGTGGCTTGCTTTCTCACTTTCTCTCTCTTTGTGTGTGTCTCTATCTGGTCAAATTAAAATAAACAAATGAATAAATAAAATTAAAAATAATTTTTTTGGGGGGAGGAGAGGTTTTCACTATAGGGTATGTGCACTCGCCAGACAGACAGAGAGAGACATAGAGACAGAAAACGAGAAATCACCCCCCGGGGGTATGGTCACGCCACAATCCCTTCTCCTCCATTCTCCTCTCGAGATCTTGGGCATGCATGCACACGCACCCGGCGTGAGTTTTAAGCCACCGGGTCCAGGACGCAAACCATGGTCAACTACATGGGAGTCCAACGACATAGCCATTACGCTAACTGCTGGTTCCCCAAAAATAAATAATTTTTTAAAAATCTCTCTTAAAAAATACTTGGCTCTTTCTATTTTTTTGAATTATTAATTTTATTTATTGTAGTTTTTTTTTTTTTTAATTTGTTACAGGGCACATATGTTCACCAGGGAGAGAGAGAAAGAGAGAAAGAGAGAAAGCAAGCCTCAAGGTCTGGGACTAAAACTCCAGTCAGCCATGCAGAGAGTCCAGTGCCTCAACCACTATGCTGTCCACTGAACCCAAGACTTTGGAAAATGTAATGTTGTTGCAGTGTTTTGGGGTTTTTAATTAACTAATTTACTATAGGGTGTGTGCATTCACAGTGAGAGAGAAAAAGACAGAGACAGAGGGAGAGTGAGAAATCACCCCCAGAGAAGATGGCAGTACCATAATTCCTTCTCCATTCTTTTCTCAGATTTTATTTCCAGACCCAAAGGTTTTGATTTTAAGTATTTCTTTCATGAGAGAGAGAGCCAGAGAGACACACAGGAAGAGTGATAGGTAAGCCTTGGGATGTAAAACTGGAGCTTTACCGTATGGGTCCGGTTGTGTTACTGCTCAACCACCATCTGGCCCCAGCAAAAAGTTTTAAAAATAAATGTGTTACAGTATGTCCTGGGGCCGGCTTCACGGCCTGGCGGTGACATCAATTAGATCCTACCTGGTTGACTCTGACTTTGAATTCCAGACCTGGCAACTTGAGAAACATGCCTTATGTATGTGCATGCGTGCTCAAAATCTCAAAGATGAGGAGAAAGGATTGCAATGTGACTGTTCCTCATGGGGAGTGCTTTCTCTCCTCCCTGTCTCTCCGTCTGTCTCTGGTGAACACACTCATACTCTAGCACACAAAAAGAAAAAAATAAAAGTATACCCTAAGCATGAACAAAGGCAAACACAAGGGCAAATCCTGACTCAACTTCCATATAAACCTTTGGAAGATCCTTTCATTCCCCTCTACCCAGATGTCTACAAGAAGACACATGCCATTTCCCTATAGAGCTAATTATAGGAGAAATCCTCCTTGAAAGGAGAGAATTGGCCAGACTGAAACTCAGCTTTTCATTGGTCTTTGAGTTACCTACCACACTAATGGCATCTTAGGCCTTTCTTTGCATGACAGAGAAATTGCAGGAGAATGCACATCAGCCTCTGTAACAAAAGATACTAGGATTAGTTTATTGAAATATCATTGTGCTCCCAGAACACAAGTTGTAAAAAGAGTGACTGCTGAGAAACAATCTTCTCACATTTTCCGTTTTAAAAGAATATTTAAATACAAGGCAGGTCTTGTATTCAGCCTATTGGTAACTGTAGGGTGCATGATTTTATTCTAGGAAAAGGGATTACAGTGTGACCCTGCTCCATGCGGAGCGCTTTCTCCTTCTCCCTCTCTCTGTATCTCTGGCAAGTGTGTGTGCCCTCTGACAAAACAAAACAAAACTTATTATTCTGAAATCCCTGGACCTATATCAGAAGTCTTGTCAACTAATTAATAAGCTACTTACTTACATTCTAAAGACATATAAAGAGCTAATGTTATAAGAGATAAAATAAGGAAAATTCTCTTAATTTATTAATTGCTAGTACTAAGCTCTTTATAAAAAAAAATTGCGGGAACCAGCAGTTAGCATAATGGCTATGTCGCTGGACTCCCACATAGTTGACCGCGGTTCGCGTCCTGGACCCAGTGGCTTAAGGCTCACGCCAGGGCGCATGTGCGTGCGTGCCCAAAATCCCGAGAGGAGAATGGAGGAGAAGGGATTGCGGCGTGACCATCCCCCTGGGAGGTGATTTCTTGCTTTCTGTCTCTGTGTCTCTGTCTGGCGAGCGCACGCGCCCTATAGTGAAAATCTCTCCCAAAAAACAAACAAACAAAAAAAACAAATTGCTAGAAGGAACATGTACTCACTGGAAAGAGAGGGAGAGATGTGGAAAGTGAGAAAGTACTCTCAATGGGGAACAGTCAAACCACAATCCCTACTCCTCCATTCTCCTCTCAGGATTTGGGGCATGCACGCATCCAGGCATGTTTCTCAAGCTACCAGGTCCGGGACTTGAACCACGCAGTTGGCCATGTGGGGTCCAGCTGCCTAATCACTATGCTATAGGCTGGCCCCTTATTAAGCTCTTATATACGTTAGACCCTAGTTAAAGGCATCTTACACATACTACAAAATTACTTAATTCTCGTAACAGCCCTGTGAGGTGGATGTCGTTATTATCTCCATTTTACAGATAAAGAATTTGAGATCTAGCAGGTTTAACGTCATACAACTAGTTAACAATGGAACTGGAATTTGATCCCAGGCAATCTGAATCCAAAATTATGCTCAACATTTGGGACCAAATGGCAGTACAGTGGTAAAATGTGAGGCCCTGCAAGGCAGTCTCATACGGGAAGGTTGCTGACTCATATCTGGAGGCTCCTCTGAAAGCACTGGCACTCGTGTACCCATGATGTGGGACTGGCCGTAAGCTGGGGTTACATACATCAAGACCCTGTTGGAAGTGGTCTCTCTCTCTCATAGAAGATATGAATAAATAAACTTTTAAAATATGGAATACTTTATACAACTTAAGAGAAGCAATATAAACCAAAACATGTTACTACTTTGTAAGTTAATTTTTTTTTTTAGAGGTTTTGCCTTAGGATGTGTGCGCTTGCCAGAGAGAGAGAGACAGAGACAGTGAAAGGGAAAGTGAGAAATCACTTCAACCTCACACTTCAATACCTTTTTCTCCATTTACCTCTCAGGATCTTGGCCACACACATGCACCCTGCATGATTTTCAGGCTACTGTGTCCAGCATTCAAACCATGGTTGGCCATGTGGGAATCCACATGATTTTTGCTTTCTGTCTCTCTGTCTTTCTCTGTCTCTCCAGTGAGCGCATGCGCCCTATAGCAAAAAACTCTCTTTAAAAAAAGAAAAAAAGCCAAAATTTATTACTAGCCACTGGTCAAGTAGCAGAACATTCTGTAGCTCTAAAAATTTTAACATGATTCAATGAAATCTATTAGCATCTGGGATTCCCCTAGGTCCTTAAAATCTAGAGAAAATTTATTCGAATTTCCAATCCATACACCATGGAAGTCCAAAGTACTTCTCAAGATTTCTCCAAATTCCCTGGAATTTATGGCATCATGGTGGTCCCTTCTGATCATATTTCCTAATTCTGTTACATTTTTTACCCTGTTACATCGTATCTTCTCTCTGTCCCTTTATCTCTTCATTAGCAGCCTGGGCCCAAAATAGCATAACCTATCTATGCTTTGATTTATCCCATTTCAAAACAAAAACAAATCTAAGTTCTTGAGTAGACTAGAAATTTTGCTGAAGGTTTGTGGTTCTTGGTGAACAGTTCCCACAATAAACAAATACAATCTGTGTTCCTCCTTTGGCCACTCTGTCCTCAGGAGTGTTTCATTGGCAGTGTAGTTTCCATACTACCCAGCCCCACTCACCTCGCGGTAACCCCGCCACTCACCATCTCTTGTTTCGCCGTCTTCTTCTCTTCAGTGTCCATTTTTTCTCCTCTCTTGTCTGACAACCTTTCTAGATTAAACAAAACAAAAACAAAGGTCAGACTCCCATTTTCTCTTTCAGAGCAGTTTAGTTATTTCTTTTTGGCGATAAGACTCCTGACATGCCCTCAGTTCTCACCTTCTTCCTGTGCAGCTTTTGAAGTTGTTTCCTTTCCTAAAAGAAATGCTGGTGCCATCTGTTAAGGGAGCTATTCCTCTGAGCCAGCAGGTTGCATGGAAGTTAAAGCGGCTGGATCTCACATGGCTGACTGCTCAGTTGAGTCCCCAACTGTGGCTTGAAAATCATACTGGGCACAAGCAGCCTCAAATCCTGAGCAAATGGAAGAGAAAGGACCGCAGCTTGGTGGTGTGGGGCAGTGGGTGATTTCTCACTTTCTCTATCTCTACCTCCAGCTGATGCTCCCTATAGCAAAAATAAAACAAAACACACACACACACACACACACACACACACACACAAAACTTTCCTCATTGATGAGGTACATCCATCCATTTCTTCAGTTATTCAATTCAACAAACATCAATTGAACCCGTGCACAGAGACCTGGAGGACGATAAAGCTAACTAAGCAGGATTCTGCCCTCAGGGAGCCCATGGCCTCTGGTGAAAGGGAACAAAGCCAATCAAGCAGTTGGGCAAACAAATTGATGGCCCTTTTGTTTTTTAATTATTTATTTTAAATTTTATTTATGCATTTACTTATTTTATTTTGATCAGAGAGAGACATAGAGAGAAAATGAGAAAGTTGATGGGCCCGTTTACCCAAACTATAGTTAGCCCTTAGAGAAACTGTGAGGTAAGTTTTGTCACCTCCTTTCCCTGTTGAAGAATCGTGGCTCAGAGACAGTGGTGTGCTGATGTATGCCTGATGACCAGCTTGGTGGGGAACGCAGAGGTGTAGTGTTTTCAATTTCTTTTTTTATTTTTTTTTGGAGAGCTTTTTGCCATAGGGCCCGTGCACTCGCCAGACAGCCAGAGAGAGACAGAGAGACAGAAAGCGAGAAATCACCCCCCAGGGGGATGGCCACGCCGCAATCCCTTCTCCTCCATTCTCCTCTCAGGATCTTGGGCACTCACGCACACGCGCCTGTTGTGAGCTTTAAGCCACCGGGTCCAGGACACAAACCGCGGTCGACTACATGGGAGTCCAGCGACATAGCCATTACACTAACAGCTGGTGCCGGTGTTTTCGATTTCTGTTGTGTAAATACTTACACCCTAGCCAATATCCAGCTACCCAAGCGATGTCACCCAATGCCGAGTTAGGAAGGGATGCTCAGCTGTACACCATTAAATAGGATGGAGAGCTGGCCGTTGAGGCACTGTTGGTGCAACATGCTGTGACGCGGATGTCACGTGGGAAGGTCTCGGGTTTGCTTCCTGAGGTCTTCCTGTATGTGCACATGGCGGATGAATTCCCTGTTATCCTGGCAGGAAGTGGACTGTGGTGTAGGGACCATGTTGGTGGTGCCCCCACCCTGTCACTCTCTCTCATAGAAGGAAATTTTAAAAACATTGTATGAGGGGGTACTCATAAAGTTCATGGAAAATATGCTTTATTAAAAAAATATATATGCAGGGGCTGGCAAATGGCATGGTGGTTGAGGTGTTGGACTACTACAAGGTCAACTGTGGAACTGTGGTTTGAGTCTTGGACCTGCTGGCTTGCTTTCTCACTTTCCCTTTCTCTGTCTTTCTCTAGTGAAATTTGAAAATAAATAAATAAATAAATAAAATAAAGACTTTAAAAATGATAACAACAACTATGTATGGCTTTTTAAATTTTTATTTTACTTTTTTTTTTTTAATTCAGCCAGACACACACACACACACACACACACACACACACACACACACACAGGGAAAGAAAGAAAGCAAGCCAC